CAAATTATAGTTCAATATTGCGTTGAACGAATTTAATTCGCGCATACATTACATATATTATTTTAAAAATCGAGTTTTTATGCATCTCAATATAAATTAAATAATTGATTGAATCACGTTCATTAAACGTATGTTTTTCATTAAAATAATATATATTATTAACAAAGATTTAATGAAACAATAATACAAAATAATTCTATAAATGCTTGATCCCATAAATTACACTTTCTTCAAAAATTTATATTCAATGTAAAATTGATCCAACTGATCTGTTAAGAGGAAAGAAGAATCTTGGTAAGGTAAGAAATAATAAACGTAAAATATTATTCTATAATTCTTGATTGCATAGATTACATTTTTGTCCAAAATAGGGACAAAATTTATTACTCGATCTAATAATATCTTCACGAATAACTGTACCCTTATATCCGTTAAGAGTTGAAGAAAAACTTCGCTCTCTACGAAGCAAGAAATAACGGGATACAGACGGAAGAAGCTAACAATGATATAATACGTTACGAAGGAAGGGGTACAGGGGTGAGATTAGCGAGAAGGTTGAGAAAAGAAGCGGCCGTTTAAGTGGCGACAACGGATACGGAGAATGGAAAACACGGTCTCCGTTTAATGCTGTTATCATGGTGGACAACGAAAGGAAATATGGCTGCTATTATTCGCTGAATACTTTTACCTTGCCGCGTATTTCTCCGTTCCTTCTCTTCAGGATGCACCATCACTTGGCATAGAGGGAACATCCTTCCACCATTGCTTTTTATTCGTAGGAATTGTCGAGTATTTTAAAAGCGTAAATTATAGAAATCGAGAAGTTTGGTCTGTAAAAAAGTAATCTTTATTTTTCCTCGCACTAAATGGATGTTTCTTGCAGATATGAATGCACGTTCACACATCATTTAAATGCTTATAAATATATGTAACACAATAAGAATATAAATATATGTATAAGTTGTTTATATCTCAATAAAAATCACGTAGACACTTCTAGTATTAATGATAGAATTTCAAGATATGGAGAAACGAAAATTGTGTCATTATAATAAGATAATAATATTATTAATAAAATATTATTACATTATATTTAAATTGTTAAAATATATATACACAAATTATAATGTGGATTTAAACATAATAAGCTTATGTTTAAAGTTATCAAATAACTTATGGAGTGTATATCGTCGGACCTGGTTGTTATCGATGGCCAGGATTTGGGGTTCCTCCGTCCAGAAATTAGGACTGTAATACGATAAATTTTCACGAGCGAGCGGACCAACGGTTGAAAAAGCGTAACCTCGTTTGTCCACCGGAAGTTTCGCCAGACGAGAGGAACCAGTGATAAATTCTGTAATTGAAGAAGGTTACTTACCCCGCCACTCGTCGTTCACCCCCTGTGGATGAGAGAAAGTGAACGAGCGTCGAAGAAAGAAGATGGAAATGTTGGATGATTTTTCACGTTGATGAAAATATTCGGGGAATGTATTGACGTATATGGAATTCATGAAAACATAGCCAATTTTGTTAATTTTATATTTTTTTTATTTATTAATTTATGGTTTATTTGCGAAAGATTTTCAGAATAATTTTTATATTTTTTTTATTAGTAAATCATAATTTGTTCAATTTTTTTTTAAAAAAATTTGTCTCAAGTTTGATAAATGTAAATTGTAATTTATCTGACTTTCAAAAAAAATTTTGATGTCCTTTGTTTAACAGATATAATTTATGATTTATTTAACTTTCGAGGAAATATCTTTTCATATATTTTATACATTTTTTAAAAGATAAATTTATTTTTTACGATTTGGATTCTTACAATTCTTAAGTAAAATATCGTTCTTCTCTACAAATGTTCGAAAAATATTGTAATATGTATATAAAATCAAGTGCAGAGAAGAGGCAGGAAATTATGAAATTTAATAATGCAATCCAATTACCATTTCTGCAATAACTCCGATCTATGAGAACTAATGTCCATATTTTACATATGGACAGAGAAATTTTACATATAGTTAGAAATTTATATTGCAAAGTTTAATCTCGTTTATAACATAAAAATGATTCCAAGTAATTAACAATTATCTTTATAATTATGTGAACGTATTATATCGATCAACCATTAATTATTTATCACCAATCTAAAAACTTCCTCGTTATAATTAGATTTTGCGTTTTTGTTAATTAAAAAAAAAGGAGAGAAGCAAATAAATAATATAAAATCCCTTATCTTTTATCGATTTCTGTATCTAAATTACAGGATGCAGAATTTTATATAAAACTTTTGAACCTCAATTTCGTTTTTCTTTTATGTTAATCTACATCACCTTGTTACCCCTTGTTTTATTTTTTCATTCAACTAATTTGTTATTTTGACAGCTAAAAATTAAAACTTTTTTCCAATTTTTCAACATCATTAGTGTTTCCATTTCAATTTTTTACAAAATATTCTCCACCTCTCTCCACCTTCATACGTATATCACGAAACAAGAATTTATCATAAATGGATCTCTATCCTCTTTTTACTGCAAGATCCTCTATTCTGAACACTATAGAGTTTGAACGCTATAGATATGGAAAAATTCCAGCCAAGGGGAATAAATTTCAAACTCTCTTAACGAACTTGTAAAAGAAACGAACTTTCGTGCAAAAATGGATGATAATTCTCCCCTTCCTGTGTGAAAATTCAAAAGTTATATCGGTTAATTTCCTACTGGCTAACGCGATACGTGCCAGAGAGGCGAAAGTACGTGCATGAAGAATTCCGCGAAGAGTAACCGTCGAATCAAGAGCTACTTCCAGCTCGTCAGTGCGTATTAGAGGTTGTGGTTGATCGCAAACGCATTTTCCAATGTGAAAACACCACTATTCTAGATGGAAACTCTTCCTCGAAGCCGGTGAACCGATCGAAAGCACGTTGCATCAGACCAAATGAAGTGGCAAATAACCGTTATGTCGAAGTTTCCTGATCAATGCGTTTGTATTTCCTTTTCCTCTTTCCTATTTTACCCATTCCTATCATCTCTTCCTCTCTTTCTGCTCGTCTCGTTTTGACCTTTCGGACCATTTCTAAAGCGAAACGTTCAGACGAAGGGAACGTTCCCTTATTTTTTATGAAACGATCCTCTTCCACTCCATGCTGTTCATCGATCTTTCATTCCTATCCCTAACCGAGGTTTATGAGAAGAAAAATCGAAGTTTTGAAAAAGAGAGGCAATGATAGATAAAAGAAGAGGCAATTGAATATTTAATATTGTTGAAATAAGTTGCGCAAGAAGTGGAGGGATGAAATGAAACTTTCGAAATTTAAAAATTCTGAAAATATGAATTTCTCTAAAATTTTCTCGCAAAATATTTATAAGCAAGATCAATATCTTTATCAAATCACGCTTCTCAATATATGTTAAAGAAATTTACAAAGAAAAAAATTATTACGAAATATTATTCGTTTTTGGGGAACTTTAATAATAAAAGTTTCGTTTCGTTCGAAATACGACCGTGATTTCTCGAAAGAAGTTAGGATTATAATTTTTCTTCGCTTCCATCCGGTGTTGAGAAAAACGAAATAGAGTGAAACTAATTTTCGTTCGGTCGAAGGAAACCGGCCGTTTATATTTAGTTTAAACGCTATCCGCGAGCGTATCTGGAACAAGGTATTAATAATGCAAAACGAGGAAAAAGACGTCGTACGTTTACCCGTTTACTGGCACGATTCTATCGATTACCGGATGAATCGATAAAAGGAAAATTGTGTTTACTCCGCGCGTAATGCGAAGAACGTTTTGTTCTTTTGTACTTACACATACGATTATTGGTTATTGCATTGAGAAAAGCTTCACGAGTATTATATTTTATTATTTAGGAAATTTCGAAGTATTCTATTTTCAACTCGTCATTTAAATTTAAAGAGAAATGTCTTCTTTGCTGTTTAATTATTCGTGATGGAGAATTGATCGTTACATCCTTTACTTATTCGTGACAGTTTAGATTAAGTTTTGAAACGGTTGTTCCATTCTAAATTTGTCACCGTGAGATGGAATGTCACTTGTCGAAATGTTTCAAAGAAATAATTGATCTAAATTAAATCATTAAGTTATTAATTATACGCAAATTAAATTAAATCTTGAGATATCTATTCCGAGTTCACTATTCGAATAATAACCATTCTTCTTGAAAAATGGATTTTTATTTGGAATGAAAATGTTTTTCAAATTGTTTTTCTCGTGATTAAAATGGAAGAATTAATTATTCCTAATTTTTGCAGTAATATTCGTAATCTAATTAAATTTTGTTTATTATTTCATTATGTAGACGAATAATTTTAAGATTAAATGATGAATATATTATCGTGATATTGTAAATAACCGTGTCATATATTTTCGTTATAATAGCAACTTCCAAAGACCACATTGACGTTAGTTAACTGAGCGCTTCGAGCATGTGAAAAGTGGTTTTCTAGGTACGCGTCTGGCTTGTACTTTCCCGTATGTTTGTTCCAGCATAGAATCCTTCGTAAAAAAAAAAAGCGAGCTTAAGCGTGGAGAAGTTACTTTTTAGCTGAAACTTTTGAAGAACAATTTTTTGTGAAGTTTTTATATAACCGTTCCGTTTCTTTATAACAAAAATATCTTCTGTGAAAGTAGAATAGTTGTTTTTATTCAACTTGACAAGAGCAATATTTCTCATTTCGCTTAGCTGAATCCATTTATAAAAAAAAAAAAAAAATGGGATGGTATCTCAATTCTTATATTCAAGAATTATAATAAAAATAATATTATTATTTAAAAATTACGGTCTGCTAATTTCTTCTATCATTAATCCTTCTTTAAATTTCATTTTTCAATTCCATCTATGGGAATTTAAATAAAGAGAAATCAATACGTTATATTGGACATGTAACAATTTGCAATGAAGTTCTACATACATATATGTATAACATTTTAAATATTAAATATAATTTTTACTGACAATATCTTTTATCTTTTCTGTTGCAGCGCCGCCGCAGAAAGTGGAGATCAGCAATCATCCGAACAAGAAGAAGATCGAGGTGAAGGTTGGGGAATCTCGTCGTTTGGAATGTGTGGTACGATCTGCGAAACCTGCAGCCACGATTACATGGTATCGTGGAAACATTCAGATCAAAGGAGGTGAAACGTCGATTACACCTATTTCCATCGAGGGTGGTGAGTGAATTCATGGTTTATTCTATCTTTTAATTGTTAAAATTTCCTTGAAATTATTTTGGAATAAGAATTTTTAAGAAATATTTCGTTAAAGGATTCGATAAGAAATGTATATGTTGATCAACAGATTTTGATTTATATTAAAACAACACGAAAGAAATAGATTGTGTCTTGAAATTCGACAAAATAGATTGGAAATAATTGACAGAATCCTGACAATCGGAACAGTGAACGAGACGAATGAGTTTTCTTGCTGAAATTAAGTTCAACACTTAACTGTACAATCTTCACGAGCTATGATTAATCTTTGTTTACTTGGATTTACGTGAATTATCAGTTAAATTTTCACTTTCTCTTATTAATCAAATTGAAGATTTTTCCTTTAAAAAATAATATACCATTCTTTCGTTTCAGCATCGTTTCGATGAATATTTATTATCAGATGCTTCTCTATGGATAAAATTAAAACAGTAATCGTTAATTAATTAACATAAATGAACTTCAATATTTGGTCGTATCGCATATTGCAAAATCCATGAATAAAATTTTAAATATTATTATAAATAATTAAGATATCGTAAACAGTTTCTTCCATAACGAAATTGAGATCTGGGAAAATGTTATAGAAACATTTATAATAGAATTCTCAATATATCTTTACAATTTAATATTAAATTACGTTGAAATAACATTTACAATAACATTATCATTTAAAAGGGATTTCCAATTTTGTTTGGATTTGTTTCTAAAGAATTTTTTAAAATTTTAGATGAACGCAATCGTACTTTTAATCTTCCAAAAAACAACGCAAATGAATTTGACGTATCTCCTTTTCCTCAGAGGTAACATCAATTCTCATTAACTCGGATCAATTCCTCCCACCTAATACACACATTCCAAGACCTATCCCAAACCCTTCATCCCTTTCACGCAACCGAGGTACAAATTCCTCCGGTATTAATCCCCCACCGAGTCAATCGATCGTTGCACAAAAGCGCCGCTTAAAGTGGATTCCCCTGTGTCGATTTGCCCGGATCCATCCCCCTTAATCCATTTTTACCGACAATTAAGGCCGACGAACGTAGACGTTGCGTCTAGCTTCGACAAGAACCTGCCAACGAGAATTCCTCTACTCGACTCGGTGGATAAAAAAGGAAAACAAAAGGGGAACGAAACAAAAGGAAAATCGAAGAAAAAGGGGATTCTCCTTGGCTCCTCGTTCCTCGATGGGGGAGAAGAAAGGAAGGAGCGATTCTCAAACGGCGAAATCGCCTTCTGCCAGGCGTTATATCGATCCTCTCTCTGAACAAGGGAGGCGTATAGACCCCCGAATAAAAAGGAGAAACAACGTCGAACAGACGTCGAGGCCGGAGGAGGGAAAAGGTTACAAAAGATGAGTGGAGAAACGATAGGCGTGACACGAGGGAAAGGAGGCCATAATGGTTCGACGAGCAAAGATCTTCTCCGCCTGTTATCCCTCCTTTCTTCCACTATTTTACGTAATAATTAAATGAATATGAAACAGAGGGACGTGGTGTATAACGTTGGTCTCGTTATCTTTATTTAAATTTCGCGAACTGTGTCGTTCTCGTGATTTAATCAATCCTAAAGTTGTCCTGTTTATAAATCGGCCGGGTAAATACGAGAGATGTCGGGAAACGAGAATGAGAATCGAATGGAATGAGTATCGGTATTGGGAGAAGTAGTTTGGGTTGAAGTTCGATTATTATTGATCGGGAATAGAGAGTGATAAGGAATCGGCGAACCGTTTGATGAAATCCTCTTGTTGTGTTCTACGTGGATTTACGAATTGGATAGTATGCGTTGAATTGGGATATTTTAAGTGAAATTAGTTAAGAGTGATTTTTGCAAATATTTATTGGTTTATTCTATAGCTAATATGATGGTTTAAAATGAAAGAAAAATATCTAAACAAACTCAAACGATTTAAATTCTTACTTCTTTATCAACTCGATAAGATTATCAAGTCTCTTTTAAATCGAAAGAAGAAATCTTATCTATTTATTTCACAATATTCACCACACAAATTTTCATTCACTATTTTCTCAAAAAAAAATGAAAAGATAAGAAAAAAGAATGACCAAAAAACGTAAATATATACGTGAGAGCTAAAGAATTTTGCGTCACAGAATCCATGTAAAAACGATGTAAGTACAATCTAGATAAAAAGGATGGGGGGAAAAAATAGAAATTTTACGAAATTTTCATCGCAAGCAATCTCACAGCTAAGAGGAAGTGACCGTGTTTCGCGTATTTTTACGTTTGCAACAAATACCAGGTGGAACGAGGATCCGGAACAAAAGGTTATACGAAATTCAGGTCGCGAACCAGCTTTGAAAAGCGGCGCTTAAAACTTCCCTTCGACTTTTCTCGGACATTTTTTGTAAAAGTGGCCACTCGCTTTGCCGGATACGTCAAAGAACATGTCCTGAAGACCGTGTCATCGTTCTATGCCATCCCCTACTTGTTACGTCTTTTCTAAGGAATCAAAACCGTTTTTTGAACGAACAACTTAGATCCCCTTCTTCGAAACTCCCAAATTGTACGCATAAAAATTTTCCCACTTCCTACACCATCTCTTCACTTTCCTCTTCTCCAAAATCGAGAGACTTTGAGACATATTTCGCGGCTGATTTTTTTATGAATTTAAAGGAAATTTGTGCTTCCATCAAGGGAAAATTGATATCCTCTTGTTCAGATTAGTCAAGTTCTTGAGTTTAAGTTTGTGTTTCGTACGAGTCTAATTACTTGTCTTGTAGTCTGTTTGAGTTCGGGTGACCTGACTTTGAGTGATTAATGGAAAATGGATATATGTGAGGAGGAGGAGCCAGTTGCTAAAGTGTATGCAATAACGAGAGTAACAAATTGTTCGAAGTTTTAAAAAAATATTGATTAGATAGAGGATAGAGAAGCGGAATTGTTATTAAATAGAATTACGTAGATTTATTATTTAGAAAAATTAGTTTAGTAGCAACAAGGATATCTATCTTTAATTGTGTAACTAATAACATAGTAAATAATGAATTTTCTGGCAATATAGTTCGAAAATTTAACAAACAGAAAATTACTTTTATGTTCTTGATGAACATTATGTGGGATATTTTTTCATTTTTCCACTTTTCCAAAGATACACAAGTTGAAATGCTAAATCCCGAGCAAAATTTTTGTTTAAATGTTCTTTAAATGTTCACAATTTGTGCCAAGATCGTCCGCAATTAATTGCAAATTGGAGAGAAAGGATCGAGCGTGGATCGATGTAAGAATCAAGTACCCGATCCTCAATTCTTCGCTTAACATAAACCCGATCTCTCACGAGGGCGCGCGACAAGCTAAGAAAGATCCACAGCCATAATCGTGTCCCCAAAGCCCCAAAGACAAATTCCGACGTGTAATCGTTCAAATTACGACATTGTTCCAGAGGCCACATTTATCTGGTGGATCGTCTGGAACGTTGGCGTAAAAAGTACCGGAACTTCCTCTTCGCCTCTTCCTTGGCGCAGTTCAAATCATTTTTCCGGGGAGGGTTATTTTAATATTTAAACGAGGCCACGCTATATTCTTCTACCTAGTGTTTTTTGAAAGCACACCAGAGGATAACTTAATAGAGTGTCTTAGTTGCTCCATTATATCCTTTCCAACAATGCACTTCCATTCATCTCTCTCTCTCTCCCTCCCTCCCTCTCTTCTTCTCTTTCTCTCTCTCCCCTTTTAGATCGATCTCCCTTGTACATTCCTCCCCTCCTCCCTTCCACGATCCCATATTCCCGTTCTTTTCGTGCTGCTCCAACATAGTTAACGTTTCATGATCCCCAGGGTCGTAACTATGGTTTGCAGTACTTGTTCCACCAGCTTGAAAGTTTTATCTACAGCCGTACAGGCTGCGTGAAGATTTTTCGTTCGTAATTCGCCTGGCTGGAACGATAAAGGCCACTCCACTGGTCCATGACGACGATATTAATTGCAATTGCTTCTCTCTCGTCGTTTAATCCCTCCCCTTCTTCCCTCTTTCGCTTCGTTTAACGTCGTTTCTCGACGACGAATCAATCGTTCGAAAAATAAAAAATAAAAAAGAGAAAAAAGAAAAGAATGCGTTTTCCCTTTGATCAGTTTTAATCAGTGACAAGATTAGTGATAATAACAGGAGAAAAGAGGATGAGAGAGGAAAGAGAGGGAAGAATGAATGTACGAGAAGAAAATGCACGTTCTTATTTATTAACTACTTTGATTCTAGGAAACGTAGTTCGAACGCGATCTTGAAAGAGATTTATTAATATCATTTCGAGTCCTTTTTTATTCTTTTCTCTTTTTCGTTTTTTGTTCTTTTTTTAGTACTTACAGTAAATGTAATGTTTCATCTTTGACATTCCATCTGATTTCTTTTCGTTCTTTCATCTTTAAAATTTTTGTATTTTGAGTGTATTATATTCGAGAGACTAGTCTCGCTAATTTATTTACAAGAGGAATCATTTGTTACACTCTTTAACCGGAGGAAAAATTATTTCCCCCTCCAGTTAGGATGAAAATAATTTTCATTTAGAACAAAAGGAAATTGGCCGTTGACTGTGAAAATACTGTCGCGACTGGGAAATTGAAGTTCCTTGAAAAAATTAAAAATCAACACGATAGAATAGAAAATGGAAAATCCTCTCGTTTCGTGTACCTTCGGTTGATCGAACAAAATTTTCTGTCCACGGTCAGATTTCTTCTTAAAATCCTGAAAATAATTCCCGCACGTATCTCGTTTCGAATTTATATTTAATATATGAAAGATAAAGATGAATTTATTAAGAAAAATCCTTAAATTAGTAATTTTCTTAATTACAAGTCGAATTTTAAAATGGATTAAAAAAATTTTACATTCTTATATAAACGAATAATAAAATTAATGAAATATCGTTTTATTAAATTAGATCAAAACTTCTCGATTTTAATTTCACCGGAAAATTCGAATGCGTTTCTCGCCCGAACTCGAGAAACATTCTCGTTGCCTCTGTTCAGTCAGTCGGATTTCATACTTTGAGACAAAATTTCGGTGGTTTACGACTAAGTCTCCGAGTTAGTCTACTTCTAATTGCACCCATGCAAGTTCTTCCTGTCGTTTGCACATGTTCCACCACCGTCGTGAGTTACGTATTTCTAAATCGATACGCGCTTTTCATTGATCGCATTCCTATTACCTTTGCTCCTTTCACTAAATCAGTGGTAGCTTCAGCTATCTAACTTTATTAACAATTATAATTAATGATACTGGTGGAATTAAAATTGCAATATCGCTGAGAAATGTTTTAATTAAAATTATATTTTACGACAATTCTGTGTTAAAAATTTTAAATGCAATTTTTTTCTTTACATAAATGTTTTGTAATGAACGGTTAGATAATTCGTGAAAGTATCTCGAAAAGAAAGGGAACTTTTATTTATTTAATAATATCAATAGGATTTTAATTGAAGATTTGAAATTTCAATGTTAATAAATAAAGTACATTTTTAAGTTCTTCGAAATTAGTCGTATAATTAACATCAAAAACAGGTTGCAAGACAATCATTTAATTAATATTGAAAATAGTCGACGATAATTTTCATATTTCTGTACGTCGTCGAGGACAGATATCAATTAACCAAACACGGATATCATTAAATTTAATTAATATCGGACAGTCGACTTGGAGAGTGAAAATGCTTAGTAAAATTATTAATCAACATTCCGAAACGAATGTTTCAAAATCTTTAATACATATCGTAAAATTCAGAATCCAATTTTTCCAATTTTTTCGTATATAATTTTTCTAAATCCTAATATTCGAATAAATAGAAATAAGAACGTACTCTTATTTATTGTGGCGATTGATTATATTTGCGATAAATAAATTTCACGATAAATTAACAAATAAAATCCAAACAAAGATCATTTCGAGGTACCAGGCAAATTTGCATAAAGCCACGTTGAGCATGATATAATCGAAATTCACACTGTTTCGATTAAATCTTAAATTATATGCGCTATTTTAACAATTCGAGTTGATCCGAATTTTTACAAGTATCGATTAAAAATGAAAATAAAATAAAAACAGAAATTTAAATAAATAAGATAAAAATTGACGATGAATAATTTATAGAATAACTTGTCCCGGGTGGAATTAAAGGTGAAACATCAAGAACAAAATCGTATTTCATAGTGGCACTCTCGCGTGTTACACTTAATAGCATCGAAAATGGTGTCGTTGTGGAAGGCTTCTGAAAACTAATAGGTATCGTTGTTTCGGATAAAAGCCTGTCCGATCTTATTTCATTATTTTTATATATAATGATTTAACAATATTTCGAAAATAATCGAAAATAATCAATAATGTGAGTAAATATCGTTGAAACATAGTGTCAAAAGTTTGAAAAATTTTAGAGAAAAGTTAATTTTTGTATTGTTAAAAAATCATTGGAAATTTGTAATTTTTTAAAGTTAAACTGGCAAAAAAATTTCAGAATTCAGTACAGAATATAGCACTGTTAAAAATTTACTTCTTATAAAAATATTTTATAGAAAATTTTATTTACGATTAATAATAATAAATATCTTCGTTGTGAACAAATTATTCTTCTTTTTCTGCGTGTTTCATTTAAATAACATTACTATATTATCAAAAAAATTTTTATCATGAGGATAATTTATATTGAATCTTAAGGGAAAGATCCTATGGGGAAGAAGACTTCAAAGTGCATGATCCTATAGAAATAAATTTAATTTAAAGTTTTTTTAATCCATGGACTATCTTTGGAGTAAGCTTTAAGAGGATCTACTTAGTTTTATGGGAACATGTGTATGTACATTTTTATAAAAGATGGATGAGAGTTCGCATTCGGACAAGATAAAAAGGGAACATGAGAAAATCGACCCAGGAGACGTTAAATTACACAAGTCACGAAAAAGACGGTCCTTTTATTTGATAACTTTTCTCTCTTTTTTTATTGAACATATAACATGCACATGTACATTGGTTATACCTTAAAAAATATTTCATCATATTATTTTCATAAAATGACGAATAAATTTAAAAAGATATGATGTAATTTAATAATTCAGAATCAAAATTGTTTAAAATATTTATTTATAAAAATTTATATTCTAATCTATATTCTAAGTTTATTTTTATTAACAAAATATTAAAAATTTGAATGATATCAAGAGTTTTTATTATTAATTTTAAGAAAATATATATTTTTAGCATTTTAGAATATTATCTAATATTATGGTTTATCATTTGTTTTAGACAAAGAAGTACAAAAGCCAGGTGAGAACAAGAAGGAATTGCTCAAATACGACACCCACGGTTCCATCGTCATTGTTCCTACTGCTGATGACAACGACATGGATTATACTTGCGAAGCTAATCATCCTGCATTACCCTACAGTATGCCTTTAAGAGCAACCATCAAACTTTCTGTTTTCTGTGAGTACAATTTTCTAAAGTCATATATTAACATTAACATTAATAAGAAGAAAATCCATCGTATATCTAAATAAAAAAAAATAGAAAAATAAAGAATATTAAAGATTGATTCTAAAGATTATAGATTATTTAAAAAAAATTACAAATCTCGCCCAAATATTGCGAGAATTTTAATTCCTCCAATTATAATTTCTAAGTTCAAAATAAGATACTAAATTAAACCAACTTCAATTAATAATACTGATCAAGAAACTTCAGAAGATGTTACGTCAAATTAGTTAATGACCAATCGTCTAAATTATATCGATCATTACCGGTTTATTGAGTATTTATCTGATTCATTAATTACTGAAATTATAACGAAATTATCCTCGTGATAATTACAATTATTTCTACCTACGCGTGATACTCAATCAGCGCTATAAAAAACAGAGGAAGAATCCATCGAACGATTGCGATACGACCTGACATGTTAATTTTACACATCGCTATCCCTTCTTCGCCTCTTCCGGTTTGAAACTTTTATTGAGAAACTTTTTCCATTACTAAAACAACGAGAACAGATCCCCATTCTTTGTACGCCTCTTTTGCCTCGAAACTTGCATGATCGAATCATTTTTCCAGATCCACCCACCATGCCGTATATCGAAGGTTATACCGAGGGTGAGACCGTGAAACGTGGACAACAATTGGATCTGACCTGCCGATCTCGCGGAGGGAATCCACCCCCCCAAATATTCTGGTACAAGAACAACGAAAGGATCTCATCACCCTACAGGAACGAGGGCCATTTCTCTGAGAACGTGTTGTCCATTACTGCGAAAGCGCAGGATAATAACGCGAGATACAGATGCGAGGTATTCAATATCATGAGCGTGGAACCTTTAAAAGTGCACGTGGATCTGACTGTACTTTGTAAGTATTTTCCCTTGGATATTTTTATCTCGTAATACAAAAATTACAAAATTTTCTTTTTTAAATATTTAATTAAAATATAAATTACTTTGTTATTAATTTTTTCAACAATTATTCGTTTTTTCAACAATATCGTAATCATTCTCCGTTGTTACGTCATTTCCACACGTTTCACAACCAGGAAAAGAACTTCGATTCACTAATCAAACGAACTACAATTATTTTTCCCCAGTCGCGCCATCCGGAGTGACGATCACCGGGCCAACAGAAGCGAAGGCCGACGAACAAGTGGTGATCACCTGCACCACGGAGAACTCGAATCCTCCCGCGGATATCAAGTGGACAGTGGACGGTCACAATTTCGAGAGCAACGCCTCTAGAACCGAGCCAGCCCCCGAAGGTGGTTGGATCACCACGTCCAACGTGACGTTCAACATAAATCGTACCAGTCGCAGTATAGTCGTGATATGCGACGCGTCTAACGTGAAACTGACGGAGAACGTCGTCAGAACCCACACCATAACCGTGATTTGTGAGTAACACGCAATTTTGATGGGATGGGTAATTAAACGAACGAACGAAATGTAAACATAATCTGGAAGAGTGATGTGGACTTTGGCGATGAGATTAATATATATACGAAATTAATCCCCAAGACTTAATCCTGTCTTGTCAGTTTATCCGAGATCTACGAATCTGTATCGAGCATGAAATATTCGAACACGAATCTTGAATATATCTATAAATGTAATACGAACTTATTGGACAGAATTAATTTCATCGGTTCACAGAATCTATAGTTTCGTGTACAAAGTTTCTCTGTTCAACTCGAATCGCGTAGAATATTATCCTGATACATCTTCTGCGATGATTTTGTCGGATAATTTGAGTGTCTTGTAATGTCTTGTAAGATACTATGATATTGTATCTTGTCCAGTAGATTGTATCTATTATACGACGCTAGTTTATATTTGTTTTGCGACAGATCCACCGTCGAAACTTAGTATCACCGGCTACGAGGAAGGAACGACGATTGACGCAGGAACGATACTGAGATTGTTATGCACTGCAACTTCCGGAAATCCACTTGCCACGTTGAGTTGGTACAAGAATGATAGAAAGGTGAATATGATCCTTGATTATTATTGATTTATAATAGTATTTATAAAGAATGATATATTTTATTATTGATATATTTTATGTTTTTGCTCTTGTAATATATATTTTTTCTGTTATATATAACAGAAATAATGCTTACTTGAAATTATCAAAATTGTTTGTGAAATTTCTGTAGCATAAAATTAAAATAAAAAGTGATTATATAAAATTAATTTTCAAAAATATAATTGAAAAGAATGAATTTCAATTATAATCATTTATTATAAATATTTAACATTAAGATATCAATTTTTTTTTAATGAAAATAAAGATAATGATTTTTCTTGATTAATTTAATAATTTCAATCCTCTTCTTTTTAAATCTTTTTAAATCTTAACTAATTAATTTTTTATATAATTATTTATCCATACATCTTTTGTTTTAGGTACCAGGAACCACGAGAACGCGAGACCATGCGGTTTCAAGCGAGTTAACGATACTCATAAATGCATCTGACAATAATGCGCGCATACGATGCGAGGCAGCGAATTCCGCGACACAAATTCCCCTGCTCAAAGTGCTCGTCCTGAAAGTTAACTGTAAGATCTACAGTAAAATATATAATATCTTATATTTTACGTAGAAACATGTTAAAAAAAATTACGTAGAAACATGTTTAAAAAACTCCTCAAACTTTTCATTTTCTCCAGTATATTTCAATTTCCAAAATGAACTTCGAAAGATCATTCTACCCTCTAAAATTCTTTAAACTCTATCTCGAAATCGAAATTACCTCCAGGCAATCGCATTTATTCTTAACAATTTGTATCCCTATCTTTTAATACATAAATGAAGCCTCTACTATTTTTGCTCCCAATCTTTGAATAAATTTATCTCGTCTCGAAAAGCTTTGTGACAATTATTTCCGAACAATTAACCTGAAATTACCATTGTTTTTGCCATAGTTCCGCCTGATAAAGTCAAGATCACTCGCGAGCCGCAGAATTTACACGCAGGCCAAGAGGGTCATATCATTTGCGAATCGAGCAGCAGTAATCCGGCGGCGGAGATGTCGTGGTGGAAGGGTGGGATCCCGGTGCAAGGTACCAAAAATGGCACTAAGCCTGGCTTACATGGGGGATTTCTATCGTTCGTCGAACTGTCGTTGGATGTAACGGAAGAAATGAATGGAGAAGTGTACACGTGTCAAGCGAGAAACAATCAAATGGATAGGTCTATTCACGACGCCACTACGCTCGACGTATTGTGTAAGTATCATAAAAATGTGTCAAAATTGAATCGGTGAATTGATTGAACTTAAATGAAAATTATATTAACAGATTCTTATTTTCTAAAATTCAATTAAGTGTATAGTTTAATAAAAAATTTAATTCCTTTAAATATCTCTATATAATCTGCATATCATAATAAATTTCATTATGTTGAAGCATCTTCTTTGAGATCAATCATCAGAATAATCAAATCTCATAAAATAAAATCTTTGTAATTGATTTAGATTTAAATTTTAATTTTTAATTAAATCAAAATTGATCTCCTTAAATCCTTATTATTAATATATATTATATATATTCAATAATTAGAGAAAGCATGATTCAAAAGAAAAATGAATTTTTTGTTACAGATAAGCCAATATTCTCCTCAATCGAGCCTTACGAGTTAATTGGAATGGAAAGCGAACCTTTCGTAATTTCCGTTTCAGCTATGGGAAATCCTAACGAGATAAGTTACACGTGGACTAGAGATGGTTTACCTCTGGTCAGTAATAACAGAAGAATATCTGTTCGTGCTTCTACATTAAATATCACTAAATTGGATCGTCATGATGCCGGAACTTATATTTGTGAAGCCACTAATGAAGAAGGCACGACATTTTATCAATTGAACTTAACTGTTCAATGTAAGCACAAATATGAAATTTTTCATATTTCAATATTTTTAGAATTTTAAATTGTTAAATTTCCATATCACTCTACTTTTATATTTTTGAATTTTAATTCTACATTTCCATATTTCAAAATTTTTAAATTGCTAAATTTTCATATCACTCTCATTTCAATCTACTATATCTGTATTTTAAATCATTAAAGTTTCATTTTATTTCATTTTTAAATTATTAATTTCATATCCTCAATTTTTAAAGTTATATGAAAAAGAAAATTTAAGAATTCGATCAATTGAATTTCAACGTCATAGAAATTCTTAATTTTCTCACGTGTATCGCATATTTTTCAGATTCAGCAAAGATTAAACGCACCTCAACTTCGGGAATAGTATATTCTCCCGGAATCGAAGCGAAATTGTTCTGCGAAGTGGACGGTAGTCCCATAGGAGACGAATATGTCACGTGGCAGAAAGTTGGCTCAAACTCGGAACTCTCTGGCCGATATTCCACCTCTTTCATCAACAAAACTTCTTATCTGCACATCGAGAACCCTGATCAAGAAGATGTTGGAGAATATCAATGCAAAGTTAACAATGGAATCGGCAATGTCACTTCTGAACCTATTCTTTTCATCACAAATTGTATGTGCTTCTTTATATTCATATAAATTATATATGTTTTAAATATCTGCATCTTTTTTTAAAATAATATTTTGATGTAGTCAAACCACAAATGATGAATACACCGTTGACGAGAAGAGCAGCAGCAAACAAAGGAGCAAACGTTCAATTGTTATGCAAAGCAAGAGGCTCGCCTTTACCTCGATTCTCTTGGACATTTAATGGAAAAACATTGCTTCCTAATGTCACAGAACATAAATACGGAATTACGCACACTGATGTAAGCTTTCAATATATTCTTCAATTATTCTTTACAAGATTTAAATTCGTTTCCAATTAATTTCTTAAACAAACTTTAAAAAAAAAATAAGTAGCAATAAATTACTTTGTATTATGCAAATATTTTAAATGCAAAAAATCTTAAAATTAAAAGATTGCTACATAAATAAAATTATGAGGAAATCCCGAAACTTATTTATCCTGAAAATTCATCTGTACAATCTTAATAAATGATTCTGCAACTTTTTTTGCAGTTAAGCGAATTAATTTCCAATTCGACGCTGACTATTTTCCGTGTGACATCGCACGATTACGGGAAATACGAGTGTCGTGCAACGAATAAAATGGGTCAGTCGACGGATATGATACATCTAGATGTGACATCGCCGCCGGACAAACCTAGCGATCTTGAGGTGTTCAACGTCACCCATGATTCTGTCACACTGGTGTGGAAAAGAGGATTCGATGGTGGTTTGCCAACCTCGTATCAGATACGTTGGAGGCAGGCTCTCGATTACGAGCATCGATACCACTATCTGGATGTATCGGCAGGAGAATATAAAACCACGATAACAGGATTGTCCCTTGGGACATACTATGTGTTCAGCGTGAAAGCTATCAATGAGAAAGGAGACAGTGGCTTTCTACCTGACTTGGTTAAAGTTCAAACACTTCGTAAGTCTTTTTTTTTTTTTCTTTAATTATTTTTTTAATTATTCCAACGCTGTTTGCCATAGTAGTTGCTTTGTTAGGTAAAACCAATTTTAAATTTTGGATTATTCTAACCAGGCTAAATTGTGAAACCGTTTGCTAGAATATTAAAAACGGTTTTTGTTGACTAACAATTAGATTAATATTTTATATTTATTATTTTTTTTTTTATTTAGAAATAAGTTCTATAATTGGATACGTATGTATTTAGTTTTATTTAGTAGAGTATAATAATGGTAAAGTTCGATGAGAAGATGTAGCTTGGTTCGAGGGAAATAGTAAGAATAGGGCGCAGCTATGTAATTTCATATTTAATATGTGTAGTCAGCTTTGAGTAATGAAATATTATCATTTCATTTAAATGTATATTTGCAATTGTTCTCTAGGAAAATAGAGAATAAATTTAATTGGTGAAGGAAATATAATGTTGTAATTTGCTTGCTTTATTAATCATCTTTCAGGAAACCCACATTCAAAATAAATATTCCATGTTTAAATCTCATTATACTAATTATATTTCCTCTTCCAAATCAAATTTTCCATTAAAAACAATTGCTTATATACCTTTAAATTATTATCCCCATAAAATAAACAAAAAACATAGCTTATATAACAAAAAATATCCACATTTTTGCATTAAATCAACATCATGTTCAACATCTCGTTTGTCTGCTTCATCATCGCATTTGATCTTTTTTTTTTTTTGCTGAAACAAAGAAGAAAAAAAAGAATACACGAAATATCTAAAGCTTAAAGCTTAATCGCATCGAATATACAATGCAACGAGTAAAGTAGCATTTATTCACATCGCATCTAATGAGAAATATCGATCATCATAATTGCCAGTATTTAACCGATTGGCATTCCGTGACGTAAATTGATTAATAGTCGTTATGCCTGTAACGATGAAGTCTCGAACGAAGAATTACCATTGCTGATGGACTTAGGCGTGCTAATTAAACACCGCGGACACGGCGGCAATAGTTTAATAATAGATCGATCCGAATCGCTAAAATTGTAACTAACCATTGTGGACTGTTGTCATTGCATGAATAACAATTCGGTGATGGGGCGTTGGCTTGGCTTACAGGGGAGGCACCACCTACCGACGTGACATCCAGCGAGATTAATTCTTCCTACATCATCGTCATTATCATCACTGTTTCCGCCTCTGTTTGCCTACTCATTGCTGCGCCCATAGTCTTTGCTACATTAAAATCGAAAAAGAAGGCCCAACGTTCCGGTAAATATAATCAATCAGCCCTATATCGTCTTTTTTCTGCTTTTATCCTGCAGGGCCGAATAACGCTGAGAACCTGCCGGACGTTCTCTTGGAAAAGGGGGATTTTACAATGAATTATATCTATACGTTTGCAGCAACTTCCCTCATCTTTTTTATCATTAATATCTTCATCATCGTGTTGTGGTACATTATGAGAAAGCGAAATAAATCTCGTAAGTTAATTTACGTACAATGAATTTTGATCCGGTTTGCTTCGTCATCTGAAAAAAAAAAAAAAAATATTATATATAACATTATAATTTTATGTATGTATATATATTTTAATTTTAATCTGGTGATTGTATATATTCAATTTTACTTGTAAAACTAAAAGTATTATGCAGTTACTTTCAACATGTACACTATTGTTAATTTTCACAAATTTTTTATCATATTTTATTTCAACAAATATATATATTGTTTGCAAAGTATTTCGATAAAAGAGATATTATGTTTGAATTTTGTACAAATTTGTTCATTATTAATATATGAATATTATTTCGATTCTAAGTGAAATTTGATACAAAAATAAAAAATTTAAATTTAAGAAAAAATTAATGACAGTCACTGGATTAATTAACATTTTAATTTCATTTTTAAAATGTTAATACAACAAGCAAAAAACGTGAAAGTCTTTTTGCACATTTCATAATATATGTTTCTATCTTTGCGCAGGAATAAACAAATCGCAAACAGCAGATATGTATGCACCATCAACCGTGAATGGAGACACCATGACCGGCGAATTAAGTTCGGTATCGGATGAGAAGAGCGACGTTAACTTCGACACTAATGATTACGTGGTCAGTGCGATCAGTCAGTATGTTCTTAGTAACAAGTAATGCCGGAGGGTAGGTTTGAGTTCTATTAACACATTTCTGTTCCATTTTGCTTCCGTTTTGGGCCCCTTTTGCTTGTGTTTTCGGTTCTTCTTGATAGAAATAGTTTTTCGAATTTTTAAATCTTCTCCCTTCTTCGGCATTTTGTTAAATTAGAATTCTTTTCTTTACTGTTTCTTTTTTTTTTCTTTTCTTTTTTTTTTCAATTTAATTACTATATTATAGTTTTTTCTCCGTTTCATAATGAAAAAACCCTTATTTAGAAGCTTTACTAAATAGTATATTCTTCTTACTGCGAATTCTACCAATAATATTTCGATTTTTAAGCAAATTTTAACTTCGTTTCTTCCAGTACTCTTAAATATAAACAAGTTACGGGGTGGATGTTTAGAGGTAGTTTCCATGCACGTAAAACACACCGAGAAACTCTCGTAATGTATCAGAATGATGAAGTTAATGTCGATACAGCGACGCGAAGTATATCACTTTAATGCATGCAAAACTGGTAACGTACTTGCGTACAATTCATACTGATACGCTACGAAATTATAGAATTACTCGAGTAATGATTCATTTTATTGCGTTTAGTCAATAATAAATTCATAGACAAATTGCAGGTTTTCCCCCATCCTGCGTTAATTTAACGATATATTTTCTCTCTATGTAACATAATAGGACGAGGGACGAAAGACCGCAGCTAGCACGTATTTGATAGATCAAACTATGCAAGATTTTGGAAAAGGGAATATGGAAATGCAGGTACATCATCAAGGAACACTTGGTCGCCGTGGCAACCACATTCAACCACCGATGAGTATGGATTCACCGCCACAGCGAACGACAGCCAGTGGAACACTTTCTGGTATATTACTCAAATTTCAGAGGATATTATATTTTATAATATAGTAATGACTTTCATATATATATATATTTAAAAGAGTTCTTTTAGGATGTTAATTCTTCGATTATAACTATATAAATATTTATAATTTAACGCAATTTCCATTTATTACAGTTTCGAAATCGAGTTACATCGGAAACCCTAGTCCGGCACCGCCAAACGACGTAAATTTCTACAGTGTAGAGATCGACAATGGCCGTTACATGGGATATGAAACGAATCACAGTCCAGTGGTGGGTGATCCAGGTTCAGGTAGTTATTATCCATCCATGAGTCCCACTGGACATATGCTTTCGAGTCATGTGAACAGCGGGACAGGCACGTTGACACGCAGCAGAACCTTACCACGTCCAGTCCCACCACCGGATGTGACTGTGATGACTGCTGGATCGAAATCACCGATACCACCGTCGGTACCTCCACCACCTACTACGTTTGCTCGGTCGGTATCCAGCAACGCGCATACTCATGGTCACCCATTGTCGACTTTTACTCCCACGCCAGCCTATTCCGATATTGATGGTCATCTTGTCTGAGGATCGCCAATATTCGGCCCTAGTTCGGTGCGTGGAAAGTATCGTGCCGTACCGAGGGACGAGACTATCATCGTGACAGAAAGAACCACCCGGCTCTAATATACATCTTGATCTGTGGCTGTCGAATCATGGAATTCTTTCACGAATCTTCGGCCTTTGTTCATCGTTTTCGACATCTCACTGAGCTATATGTATGGTTATGTCAGTTTGATATCGTTCGAGGATGTGAAACAGAATTTTTTTGATGAAATTGTGCGATCATAAAGAGTTTTGTGTGGGTGCTTCGACGACTTTCTCATACACATTATCCTCCTTGAACATAAAAGAAAGTAACAGAAGTATGTAAATAGAAACAAAGGAAAAGAGGAACCGATGTTGCGGTTTCTATACGTAATTTTTAAGTAGCATGCGGTAACACCGTTTGCAATATGCAATATGCATTCCTTATATGCTGGTTTCATTGGTTTTTCCGCGGACATAATTATCAAATACGTACCTCGACTTGGATCTTATGATAGATCATATAATTACGTTTTTCGCATATCACATTTTAAGAAAAACGATTGATACTTGTGAGCAATCCATTGGAATCAACTCTGAAGATATTTTCGTGATACCACAGTTAGCATACTGACAGTGATTTATTCAATTTATTTTTACCATTTCTTTCTGTGGTTTTTGATTGCGCTTATTTATGCACTTTTACTTAATTGTGACGACTTCATAGTGATGTAAAGACTTACATGATCCATCGTGTGACTTAAATGGAAATCGACGAATTGTGGATGGAAGAAACTCATCTGAGAATGTTCATCCTAGTGAGCACAAAGGTATGATCAGGTTAAGTTGCATTTTGCTGAGTTAATATCATTAAATGATAAACTCATGCGATTCAACTGATAAATTAGATTGTAAATTAGAAAAAAAAGATATAATAATGAAACGAAATATCAGGGAAATTCGCGAGCCGTAACAATATATAATAATTTAAAAAATTTTTTTAGAAACACTTCGTTACACTTATTCGTTACACTTATATTCGATCGATGGCGCTTTTGAAAGTCGAATTTTAAATCTCGATTTAAATCGATAATATTATCGAAACTCTATCGATGCTGTTACTCTCGATATTATTATGTAATAATATACCAAATGATTTTTTTATTTTTTTTTTTTTCTTTTTTCTTTTTTCTCTTCTCTTTTTTTATGAATGACCGTCCGTTTTGAAGTTAGTTAACAAAATATTAATATATTGGCGAATATATTCATATTTGAAATTTTAAAGAGAAAACGAGACAATCGGTTTTACATAGGAAAAGAATTGACAACGTTTGTAATCATATATTAATATTGATTTTCTTCTTTTCTTTCCCTTTTGCTCATTATAAAACGCGTTTTCTGTGTTAGATTGAACAATTTTTTCAAGGAAAGAAGTGATATGTGAGATAAATAGAAGCTATTTGTGAAAAATGATCTATCAGTGACAGTCAATGTGATCAAAATGTTTATGAAAAATGTTCGATAAATATTAAAATAGTAGAAGATATTTAGATAAGAAAATTCTAAAACAATGAACGCGATATAGAAGTGATTTTACTTTCTCGGGCTTACTATACTTTGATAGATCAATATTTTGTTCCATATATTAAAGACATGATTCCCGCGCTTTTTGAGGTTAAGAGGGTGATCAAGCAAATTTTCTATAAAATTCAATTTTACAAAAGCAGATTCGATTCAAAATCAATAAAAAATCTTTTTCTCTTCGTATACTATTAAAAATTATACGTATATAAATATGAATGTGTTTGCATATCATAAGTTTTTTAATTGTTTATTTTTTCTGTTTGTTTTGTGATTTGTAATTTCGTAATTTTCTATATGAATATTATTAAATGATCATTTTATTTTTTAAAACATTGAATTTTAACACATACGTATAAAATTACGTATAAAATATGGAATTTCCACTGCCGAATTCTAAAGTCAATACTAATACGAATAGTTTAATTAATTAATTGTCGTGAAACGCATTTGTATGAACGCTTTGTTCGTCATTATTGTTACGGGAATTGGCGCGAAATAAAATAGCAAATATAAAGCGTTAATTCTATTTTATGTGTTCGATAAAAAAATGTTTTTGCTATTAAAATGATTGATATTTCGTTAAATAAGATTTAGTTATCAAACTCAATATATTACAATTATGCACGATAAATATGAACGAATAATAATAATATTTATAAGGTAAACAGTTTTCACGTGACATCCAATGAGTGCTGATTTTGTTTTCTATCTTTTATGTATAGTTTTATTACTTCGATTAACAAAATCGGCACGATCAGGGAATAGAAAATAAATGATTGTTAACAATTTATTATTATGCGGTACAATACATATGGCGTTTATAATTAAATTACAAGAAATATGCCAAATATTTACAAATATTGTTAATTGTCGTTTAAGAATGATACTTTGTAAAATAGTTAGTAAGTAATTTTTTTGTTTTAACTACAATATTACAATATAACTTCACTGCCTAATTTTTATTTTTGTACCGCGAATACGAAACTTTTTTTATACTAATTGTTATAAGACTTAGCATCACGTGAAAACAGTTAACTTATTACTAACAAAAAAAAAGACAGTCGCTTAATATTATTTTTTCAAAATGGCAATAGCTTCAAGCCACCTATATATATATATATTCAAGTAAAAAGTATAATATCGCAACGAAATGATACGATATTTATTAAAAAAAAACACAACAATATAAAAAAAAATGTAATCAACATAATCAGTGAAATCTATTATATATGCAACAGAAATTAAAAAAAAAAAAAGAAGTAGGAAAGACAAACAAAAAGAAAAGAAATAAAAGTGAGTGTCTTGGAGTAGTGATATCTTCAAAAAAGACAATAGTACATAAGTTTAATTATACGAATATGAGTTTAGTTAAGAGTAAACTATTTCCCTGGCACAGCCAAGTTAGAAGTTGCATTTTTGCATAAAAGGACTTTATGCAAAACGATAAGACAGAAAACGTAGTTCGACTAAATGTTTATACATATATATTTTTGCATTTATTTCCATTAAAAATTGATTATCCTTGTAAATAGTGCGATATGTCTCAGCGTTTCACACACTCCAGAAAAAAACAAGTAATTAAAGAAAATGGATCATATGAGGGTCTCACTTTACCTAAGCTATAATGAAATATTGTATAGGATTATTATGCGCTAGGCCACGTATTATATCTGGAAGAAAACAAAAAAAGAATTATTCCAGTTATCGGACGAGACAGCGTCTTTCCGTTTATCGAAAGCCTAAGTAGTCCACATATATTTTTGAAAAGAAAGAAAAAAAAAAATACAAAAAGACACCGCATATATTTGGCCTATTGTAAGAAAGAGTCTCGCGAACACACGATGACGCGTGAAGCGCCACGAGCGACAAAAGCTCGTATTAAAAATTGGTCGATAAGGTGTGAGTTTCGTTCAATTTCCATGAAAGAAAAATCATAATCGATACGCGCCCAATCGGAATTTTTTTCAACAAATTTGTATATTGAGATAACGAGAACAGAAAAGGAATAAATTATAAAGAACGAATCTATGTTTGCAATGTTCAATATGATCAACAAGAGATGACGTTGAGAAATCTACGCACGTCCCTGGTAACTGTCATGCTTCTAATTTGGCTCGCGTATCGTACGAATGTAAGTTAGGAATACATAGTAAGTAAGATTGCTCCAAAAATACATAGAAATGCATCATCATTCGCATATCCACATTCAACACATACACTTACATCTATGCAAGAAATCACTTTGGATTAAATCCACGTAAAATAATACGAAAATCGCTGCGTAGATATGTATATTCTGAGCAATCATACTTATCGATAGAGTCTCGAAAAGATCAAACGTGAATGATAGTATCGATAATCGATTGCATCCTACACTATTTTCATTCTATCGCGATCATTAATCGAGCTATCGGTTCATGTGAAAATCGATCGAGTCTGCTATGTTTGTAGAGTATTCTTGAATAAACACGTAATATAAAAAGAAACGAAAGAATGAACTTGCACGCGCGGTAAAAGGAAAGACAAGGAAATCTTAAGAATGTCGTTCACATTGTATACTTTTTCGCGCCGTTGTCATGTGTGTTTTATGCTTGAGAACTGTTTGAAAGTTTTACGAATATAACGTTTTCGTAGCATGCGCTATTGTTATTTCATTAATCGAGAAGGACACTGATTTGTTACGGTAGATTCTACAAAGCTTAAAAAAAAAAAAGAAACGTGTATTGTTAACCGCTGCTGTTGTGTATGGAGCCGCATCGTTCGGCTTAGACTGATGATAAAATTCACGTATGCTCAATTAGAGATCATGTTTGCGCATAATTAAGAATTCTATTTACATATACATGTTTTATATTTGTAATTAATGAAAATCATCTATACTTAATATTACCTGATATTATTAGATTATGTAATCTCCAAAGTATTTGCTCATCAAAGTGCTAGGCAAGTTAGACGGACCGATATTCGTCCAAAATGGTACCTTGGAGATGGACATACCATCTAACAGTACGATATTTGATATTTTACACAATAATTAATAATTTCGTTGATTATTCTAAGACATAGTCAATCCTAATTATACAATCATTAAGATACGAGAATATATATATATATATAAATTAACCGTTTTACATGTATATAATGTACATATACGAAACTTAGATAGACAAGAACAAAAAAGGAAAAAGAAATGAAATGCATTAAAACGAATTAATATCAAATTTAAAGAAACGATCGAGAGCTTTCGTAACTAGGTAAATATTCATATTAACTTTTGATGGTTTTTCTTGGTATTCGTTTTATCTATTTTTTCCTCTTTTAGATATAAACAACAGAGAAAAAAACGAATATAAAAGAAAGAAGAATAATTCTCTTGCCGACGATACTATTATGATTGTACATGTCGTTCTATGTTTTGTATCTGAAGGCACTGCACAAAGAACGACAAAACTGCGAATATACAATAAATCGCCGAAAGTGACGTGACGAATTTTACCGTGACGAACTTATCCGTTCCAAATTACCATTTCCGTACAAGAGGCGAAGACTGGTTATAAATACATGAGCCGTTGTTTGTCATTTTTTGATGCTTCGAACGACTCGATTTTGTATTCAATTATTCGTTAGAAGAAAACACATTTTCAATTAAGATCTCTTCGATCTCTTCGATAATCAATTGTTGCGTTTCATTATAAATCGACAGGCAAAAAATCTAGCGCTCAAAATAAGAAATGAGCGATCGCTTTGAGAAATTTTCGAAAATATATTATTTTGCATTATAGTTATTCGATAGCTTTTTAAACGAAGCTAAATTAGCAATTATTACATATATTTATTATATATTCTATAGAAATTTATTTTGAATTTTGCGCTTTTACAAATAAAACAATGATGGAAAACAAAATTGGAAAACATAATTGGGCATTTACATAAGGAAAATAAATAAACTTATTGTCTCAAAGCAGATTTCTTGCGCGTCAAATGAAGAAAAAGAGAAATTTATCGCGTATATCGAGCGATACTGATAAACGATTAATCGTTAAGCGTATCATCAGATATATGTTGCTTCCGTTTGTGTGCCAATAAAAAAAAATCGACATTCTTGATGTATAAATATATGAAATTTAAATGAAAATGATATTATTGTTACGCGGGCCGTTGTTATGGCTAATTTTTTCTGATCAGGATTTACCATGCAATGTAATTCTTTGGAGCAATCATCGCTGTTTATAAGTACAACCGATAAAAATTATTGAAGAGGGAAAAAAGAAGCTCTCCGATAAAAGAAAAAATAAAAAAAAAAAAGAAAAAGAAAAAAAGAAAAAAATGAATAAGAAGAGAGACAGTCGAGAAGAAAAAAATCGTGTAATATAAACTAAGCTACCGAGCAATTGGTACGCATTAATTACTTGTATATATACATAGTATTTTTACATTCTAATTCTAAATTACATTTCCAATTCTAAATGGTAATAACATTACTCTGTGAGCTTCGCTTGTCATTTGTGTAAATCGTCGATGATATTTCTTTTATATTTGTTCAATTTAAAAATAAAAAAACGCGAATGTTATGAATGATACGCGGCAAATGTTATATCCTTTCTTGTGCTTATTTTATTGCACCCTCTTGCACAAGATTCAATACACGCCTCGTGCCTTCATCGCACTTAAATTAATTAATTAGGATGTATAAGGTTATGGTCGTACGTGTAATGTTCCTAATCGTAATTATTCGTGGAAAAAATTATTTGCCATATTTATGGCAGATATTTGTATTTTTATCATAATTGCATTAACTTGTACAGGCCACATCCATATCTAATAACATTGATCAAGATATAAAGTGACATTTCGTTTGATACGAAACATAAAAAATTAGTATTCCGCGAATATTTTCGTAAATATGACATCTCACGTGGCCATAAACCAATTAGGATGACAAGAAGAATATTTCATTGTGTATGTCGTGTTACGATGTATTCGATTTTTGTACGCGTAATTTGATTTCTATTTCACTTATGCTCATAGCGGATGTGATTGTATCTTCTCGAATACATTGTCATACGATATACAAAAGCGAAGAATAACATTCACTGAGATGTACTCGTGCGCATCTTTAGCCATTAACAAGATAAAACATGGCCCCATATGGCTTAAATATTAAGTTTTTTCTACAAGAAATCTTCGCCAAAATTCCTCGTATTATTGAAATTCATTTTTTCTACTTTGTTTTTTACACATAGAGACAGAGCGAAGCTCAACATACTAGTCCTTACTTTAAAACCAAAGTAAAGAGAAAACAACATTGTGTAGCTTTTAAGAATCTCCATTACGTATTCACACCTGTGTGTCTATACAAAAGGCATAATTATAATTAAATAATTCAATCATCGTAATTAGGTAAATGACTAACCGATAAGCGAATAGATAAAGAAGAGAATACAATGGATAAGCCACTCGTTAAGTGTATCGTTTTATTTTAATTCATTTTTTACTACACGATTAACATTTTATCTAGCAACTTTCGTCGGCTAGGAATGTAAATTCTGTATCTGTACATTGTTTTCCTATTTCAACTATTAAAAGTGATCGTCAACTTAAACATTGTGTCATTTTTTTTTTTTATTTTATTATAAAATATATTCAGTTTATTATGTCTTATAATATAATTTATAGTCAATAATATAATTTTATATTCAATAAGAAAGTATATTTCTCTTTTTCTTTGTGAATTTGTTTATGTAAATATTAAAAATTCACAATCATTTTAAAAATATATTTATATAAAAATAGCAATTACTATACTAATTAATATAATACTAATTAATATAATCACTATTGTTAATCATTACTGTACCTAATAATTACTAACAATATATAGGATAATATTAGCATTATATTAGGATAATATAGAATTTTGATTTTATATTTCATATTCTTAATATTGATCGCGCATAAAAGTATTTCATATACTTTTTAGAGTAATGCAGAAATTATAATCAATGATAAAAATTGATAAAATCAGCATTTGAAAAATAATTTCTCTGATACATCTTTTTATAAATATTCTTCTGCTATGAATAATAGACTTATATACAAGTGAAATTATATTTCTTATTATTGAATTAAAATTTGCGATTATTACAATATAATGAAAATAATACCAATTTGCGAGATCTTTTATAGAAATAGATTTAAATATTCTAAATAAAATCTGTTAAATAATTTTTAAAATAATGATGTTAATTGAATATTGGAACCTAGAACCCATAAAATATACAACAAATATGGACAAGGAGAGTAAATAGTAAGAGAAGGATAGAGATAATGTAAAAATTAGGAAATCAGCGCCATCTCTAGAGTGCCGCAAATGAAACATATAAATAAAGAGAGCAAATAAATAAAAGAAAGATAGAGATAGAATAAGAAATGATCGTCAGCGCCATCTCTTGAGTGTTAAAGAAATTTCTTTAAGCGCAAGATAAAATAGAACAGGAATTGAATAATAGCGTCATCTTTTAAATGCTTTTAAAAGTATATTTAAAACACTTTTTAAAAAACTTAAGAGATGGCGTTAGCGATTAATTCCTATCCTCTTCTATCCTTCTTTTACTATTTGTTTTTTGGAGCGAGAAAATAAAATAAGAATTATCTAATGGAATCATCCTTTAAGTGTTTATTATTTAATTCTTTAATTTGTCATTAATCATTTCATAAATAATTTTTAAATATTGAAAAATTAATTTTATTTTTATTTTTATAATATAGTTTGTAACATGTTACAAACTATACATAAAATAAAAAATAACTTTATATAAAATGAAAAATAAATTATAAATGCACAATAATATTATTTTTGATTATTTAAAATATTTTATTAGAATAATCATAAGTTTCTAATCCTTATTTGATAATAGCAGCTTTCCGTAATTAAAAAAATATATATTATAATATGGAATTATTACAGCTCCATTTATCCATTTTATAATAGATAATTTAAATATAATTATATATGTATAATAAAACTTATATATATCTATAATGTACTTCATCTATAAGATATTCTGCAACAGACTATACGTTCTGTTCTTATTTGTAATTTTATATTGAAATTTAATTATAACTATTAATAATCATTATAATCTTTTTTTCTTTAACGAGAATTTTTCTTTATATAATGATCAATATGTTTTTTTAACAGGAATAAATTTCATTCGAATTGGATTTTCTAATCGTAATATAATACCCAAAGAAATAGTTATATCCTTAAGATAATCAATAGGTTCGAAATAGTAATTACACAAGAGAAGACCTAGATATGTTTTTAATTCAAGCATAGCGAATCGTTGTCCTATAAAATAAAAATATTATATATATATATAGAATTCATAAATATGTATATATATTATAATTTATAATTAAAATTAATACATTAGTATTAGAATTTAGGAATTTTCAACATTTTAATTTTCTTTCAATAAAATTGAAAATAAATCCAATTTTATAGATATTCATTCTTTGACTTATTAAAAAATTTATTTTTTTAAACTCAAAAAATTTTTTTCAATTTATAGAATATAATTTCTCTACAAGTATTTATTTAAATTTGAAATTTTTACCAATGCAATTTCTTGGTCCAGCACTAAAAGGTATATAAGCAAAAGGATGTCGTCCTTTGGAATTCTCAGGCAAAAATCTGTCCGGATCAAATTTATCCGGATTCGGCCAAAACTTTGGATCTCTATGAGTGTTAAATATCTGTACATTAATTATATTATTCGCAGGTATTTCATAATTACCTAAAAAAAAAATATGATATATTTATTTAGTAGACTAGCAATTATTAATAATAATTAAACAATTAAACAAATAATATTAAAAATAAAAAAAATTAAATGAATATAATTAATTTACAATCTATATAGAATAATTTTTGTATTTACTTAATTTTACATCCCCTTCCACTCTACGTGATATTAGAGGCACGCTTGGATAAAGACGAAGAGTTTCCTTAATACACCTCTCAAGATATGGAAGACTTTGAAGAGTAGACATATTTAATTTTTCTCCATTTTCGCCTATTACGGCTTTTACTTCAGTCCTAACTCGATTCTGTAATAAATAATTATAAATCATGAAATTTAAACATGTTATTAAGTTCTCTTATAGAAAATTATGAATAACATACTCATTAAAATTTTTTCTGCTTAGTTTAATAAATATTTTTTTTTTTTTTTGAGAAAGAAAATAAAAAATTTAATAAAACGATAACAAACAAATATAGAATGTTGTTAATTTTTATCTATATATTCATCAGTTTAATAATAAAAAATGAAAAAGTAATAAAAAATATATTATTTTATCTAGTATTTTTTTCATAAAAGTTAAATTTATAACAAAAAATTAAAAATCACCTGGATATCTTTATGTTCAGCAAGAAGCATTACAGAAAAGCAAAAAGCTATAGCAGTAGTATCATGTCCCTGTTTAAAATAAAATATTTTTATTTTATTATCATCCAAAAAATTATTTGTGTTCTTACATAAAAAATAAAAATTTATTATACTCTGAACATAAATGTATCGACTTCTTCTCTAATTCCTTCATCATCTATTTTATCATTTCGATGGGCTTCTATTAATAGATCAAGCATAGCGAGTCTTTTTCTACGAACTATAAATAAATAAAAATGCTAATATATGTTAAATATATCGAATATTTATTTATTATTTTTATTTTATATTATTTACTTCCTAAATCATTTTCATTGTTATTTTCATTTGTATTCTCATTAAAGTCAGTTAAATATCGACCGTTCGTCTGATCATGATATTTTTTTCGTTCTTGGATTATCTGTAAATATATTAAAATCATTATTAATTAATTGAAATTCAAAGATATTTAACATACGTTAACAAAGATATATAATATAAAGATTAAATCATTTTTTTTAATATTTCAACAAAATATAAATTCTTTATTATAAAAAGTAACGATATAATGATTAAATAAGTATGATTAGATAATATTCACAATAAAAATTGCATATTTACCTTTCGTGTGAAATTATGTAATATTTTAAGTAATTTAGATTGTTGCCATCCTTGAGGAGAAAGATTAAAAAAAAAATCATAATAAAACCATGGTCTTCCTATTCTATAAAAATCATAATAAAGATTTAAATAATATATGTATACATATAAAATAATATAATATGAAAAATTATTCACCTATATACGAAAATACATCCCATATCGTATACAGCTTTATGATATTTATACTGAAATGTTCCTTTATTCTTTAATGAAGTTCCCATTGCAGTTTCTAAAGAAATAAAAAATTAAGTAAAAATTAGCTAATTTTTTTTTATTTATTTTTTTATATCTCTTCGATATAAATTTTATTGTCAGAACAAATGTATTATATATAATAATTATATTAATTTAATTTTCTGTAATTTTTTAAATGCATTAGAAAAAAAAATGTTAATTTCAATTGTATTCAATGAAATTTTTAAATATTATCTAATCATCTAAATAATGTTTTGTAATTTACCGCATAACACATTCAATGTATGTTCGCTAGTGAATTGTAATAGATTTGGCACGATAATTCCATTTTTACTTCTCAACACTTTAATCAAGCGTTCAGCATCCTCTATAAATACGTCAACAAATTGTCGAAGTATATTGAAGTGAAAAGCAGGCGTCAATATCTTTCTACGAACGTGCCATTTATGACCTCAAATCAATTAAATGACAAAAAAATCAATAAATTACTATTTACTTATTTTTCTCTTTTGAAATGCAACAAATAAATTATCAAAGCTTGGAGTAAATTTAACAAAAATAATATTTTACTATAAAAAAAAATATAATAAATAAAATAATTAATAAAAATTAAATATAATACCTGAACTGGTAAGAAGTCCAGTATTAAACCAAGATTCCAGGAATTTGTACGCAAAACCTTTTTTAGTAAATTTAGTATTTCCAAGAATTGTCTAGATGACAAGGAAAAAATAATAATTTTTTATTCTTAAAATGTAATTTTCGCAAAAAATTGAACAGTTCAATTTTTTTTTAAATTATTAATATTCGTATAATTTCAATTTGAAATTAATTACCTCAATATCATCTGGATGACAAATATGAATATGTGCTTCAAAGAAAGTCCAAATTTTAAAAATTGGATAATAGTCCTTGCCCATTTTTATCAGAGATGTCCAAATCTCACCTATAAATAAAATGAACATTACAATGATTAATAATGTTGATTCAATTTATCACTCATCAAGTAAAAAATAAAATAGAATTATTAAAATTAAAATTAAATAGAATTTAAAAGATGAGATATTTTTTCTTACTTGGGGAACTTAGAATTTGAGGAATGTTCCCAACAATCGGAAATGACCGAGGTCCTGGTATCAATTTTATCATTCCAGATTTCCCATGATGCGACAAAAAATAATGTAAAATTAATATTAAGAAAAATATGAAGAACAGTATTATGGTAATCATTTTCGTAAGATTTCAAAGTTAGATGTGACAATTTCTGTTTCTTACACACTTCATAAATCTTAATAATATATGCACTTCTTTTATAAACGATTCATTTATATTTTAAATTATCATTATTTGTAAATTAGATATTTCATAAATAATATTTCGTTTTAGATAAATTAGATATTTTTCACTTATTTAAGATATATAGTTATTCTCAATTTTAATTTAAATATATAATTTTAAAATATTTTTTATGTGAAAGGTTAAAAGTAAAATTGCACATAAATTTTTAACAGACTTATCTACTTTATACGAAAAGATTCTCTCGTTCATTATTTATATTTAAAAATGTATTATCAATGCATTTAATTGCACTATCAAAAAACATTATAATATAGTTTTTTCTTATTAAATAAAGAGACGTATTTTTATCTAAATTTTATTTAATGATGTATTTTTGAGAGACTTTATCTTTATAAAAAATAATATGGAAGATTTATCTCTTTTACAAGTCATGGTTTAAAAGTCATTGTTTTTAATGAATATTGATAAATAATAAACCAATAAAATATATTTTTATTTTTAAAATCAATTATGATTTCTAAGAAAAATTACATAAAATTTTAATGATTTTAAATATTATTAAAAACAATAGAATTTTTATGCAATAGAATAGTTTTTTTATAAAAAATTTCTAAATAAAAAATTGTTTATATAAATTTTTGTAAACATAAAAATTTGCTTTATTTTTTATATATTTTTTAAAAATTATATTAGTTTTTGAATATTTAAATGTTTTAAATATTTTGTTTTTTTGTTCATATGCATTCTATAGATTTTTGCGTATTCATATTTTACATAAATATCCGAAATCTACTTATCAAATTAAATTATTCAATCACTTTTATTATTTTTATCTTTTCAAATTTTTTCTTTACAAAATATGCAAAATAATTTACAAATATTTTTAAAAATCTTAATTTTTTAAATAAAATTTAAAAAGAATATTTAATTTATAATTTTTAAAATTCATAATTATATTAATAAAAATAATATATATTATATATATGAATTTATATTAAAATCATTTTTTCTCAATGAATCAAGATGATATCAATCATTTATTTTTTCTTTTTGCATTCGTCGTGGATTAATATAGTATTGAATATTTCAAAGAAACAAAATGCAATTATTCTCATTATGTTGAATCCATTTATAAAGATATATTTCTTATTATATTTTTAATTAATATAATATTTACATTTGATATAATGGACAAATTTACATGTAGCGTTTTCTACTATTTACGAGAAATTTACGAAAAATCTTGAAAGCTATTTTTGTGAATATGAAAATCTTAAACTAGAGGAATATCTATATACATTTTTGTTCTTCGTTTCTTTTTTGTGACAAACATTTTGCTTTAAGTTGGCAATGAAAATTATAATGTTTTCTAAATTTTATAAGCTTAAAGTCTAAATGAATGAAAGAAGAGTATAAGGTACTGTAATAATATAGAATACAAAAAAAATTAATTTAAACTTGGAGATATTTAATGTTTATATTTCGAATTTATATGAAGGTTGTACGTAATGCAGATAATTAATATATAATTTATTCATTTTTAAAAAATTTATTTTTTAAATTATTATATAAACATTACATTCTACAAATATTTAAAATAATATGTTAATAATATTATCAATATTGGATTTCATAATGAAAGCGACAGAAATTGCTTCAAAATATGCAAATAATTTGATTTTTTTGTAAAATTGTCAAGAGAATATTATTTATAAATTATCGTGAAAAATTCTTTGCAATAATAATTTTACAATCAAAATATTTTTAAAAATTCTTTAAATATAAATAATAAAAAAATTGTCTTTGAATTGCGCGCTTGGTTATATAGTTAAGGGTTATGACAGAATACATTGACTTGTTTTTTATTCGGTATATTGTGATTTATGAATTTTAATAATGAAATAATTCTCAATCTATTTCTTGATTATATCTAGTTTTAGGATGCTGTAAAAAGAAATAATTGTTTTAAAATCTGCAGTAATATTAGTAGCATTTACGATTAGTACTTTAAGCTAGGAGTTGGCGTGCGTGGCCAATTTTGCCAACTATTTCCGGAATAATAAGTTTCCTTGAGGTGACGTTTGCTATTATTGTCTGTAAGGTGTGTTAACGGCATTATAAACGTCGTCATATTTCTAAAATTTTAAATACTGTTTTTTTTCATGCGAAATATCATATTATCGAAATAAATAAAACAATACGTAGCATCAATTTTACCAAGCAAAAGAATATTAATTTAAGTATTTTGAATCAGAGTCTTCTTAAACAAAATGGGCCTAACAATTAGTAGCCTACTTACTCGGCTTTTTGGTAAAAAGCAAATGAGAATATTAATGGTGGGTCTGGATGCTGCTGGAAAAACTACTATATTATATAAACTAAAACTTGGTGAAATTGTCACAACAATACCTACCATTGGTTTCAATGTTGAAACTGTTGAATACAGGAATATATGTTTTACGGTATGGGATGTTGGTGGTCAAGATAAAATCAGACCACTTTGGAGACATTATTTCCAAAATACACAAGGTCTCATCTATGTTGTTGATAGTAATGATCGGGAACGTATTGGAGAGGCAGAACGTGAATTAGCAAACATGTTAAAAGAAGATGAACTAAGGGATGCAGTTCTTTTAGTTTTTGCTAATAAACAAGACTTACCAAATGCCATGTCTGCAGCAGAACTTACAGATAAATTAGGATTGAATTCTTTACGTGGACGTCATTGGTATATTCAAAGTACTTGTGCTACTCAAGGACATGGACTCTATGAAGGACTTGATTGGTTGAGTAATGAACTAGCTAAAAAGTGATAAAAATACTGTATCCATAATCTTCATGAACAATTTATTCATTGAGCATGGACGTAGAAGACATGTTGCAATTTCCATTTTGTCAGATTACGCACTATGTGTACGATTTAATACCACTGTGATTGTAATTTTTAAGAGGAAAACTACTTGAAGTAATAGAAATATAACTTGACTGTCTCAGTATTAAAAATTAACTGAGTCAGTGTTGAATGCTAAAGCAAGTTTTATTTTCAAAATGAAATTTTATTTTAAAAAAAAAGCTGTAAAATAGATGAGTGCATAAATTTATCAGTTATATATCTGTTTGCTAATCAATAGAAGATATTGTGAGTTTATTTAAAAAGTGTATCCTGAATTTATAATAAATATAAAATATTTCTACATTAATTTTAATATACATATTTTTATTTGAAAAGAATATATATTATTTGTTTAATAAATTATCATTATTTCTTCACTATAAAAAAAAAAAAGAAAATAATAAACTTTTTATACTTTGCTATGCACTTTGCTCTGCGTCTATGTAGCAAATTAAAAATGAAATATTATATATATATGTATATATATAATATTTTATGTATATATATTATTTAACATATAGTTTTTACTATTTTGTTTTTTGAATAAATAATAGTATAGAATAAATAATATTAACAGTAAGAATAAAGTATAAGAATAAACATTTAAAATATATATCTTTTTCTTCCTTACTAACTAATAATTTTTTCTTATAAAGATATATGATTTTTATTGTAAAATATCATTATAAATTTAAAAAATTATTAGAAATAAAAATATAAATTATAATTTTACAATTGTATTTTATCATTATCATTTTCTTTTATAACATAAAAATAAGAATTTATTTTTACAATATATAATAATAAGGGAAATATAATAGTCAAGTATATTTTGCAGTCTTCTTATTTAACTCAATGTAGTAACTTTATTATAGTACAAAACAGTACATTATCATACATGCACTGTATATTGTATAACGTATCAAATAATTTGTTAATATGCAATATTATTTTTATGCATCATAAAATTTTATTCCATTTCTACTCATAAAAGACAATGAATAAATTACAGAATATATTTCCTACTTATGAGTAATATATACAAAGTAGTTTTAATATATGACAGAATAAAGGGCATCAATTAAAAGATTTGAATATATGAATATCTTATTTAGATATTTTTGTGTCACAAATGTTAAATTGTTCAAATTCATTTACATAAAATTTGTTATTATACATAGAATTATTGACTTTATTTGCTATATGCATTTTCATAAAATTATCAGTGCATACAACCATTTGATAATAAATTTTCTTTAGTTAGGCAGCAGTCACACAGATCATTGAACAAATACCAAGTGCATCATGGTAATTAATTTGTTCAAATTAACTTTTTAATACTAAAAGCTGATAATTAGAATATTTATATTTTACCAATAACTTCAAATTGATTGTAACTATCTTATTGATGCCATAAAAATAATTTGTTTAGCAGTTCCTTTATTTATAGCTTACAGAACCTTGGCAAAATTTTTAAGATAATTAAAGGAACATAACTATATTCATTTATAAACCTAAGAATATTTTTGAGACAGAGCATTATTTTTGCCTAATGCAGGAAAATGATTTTCTAATGTATGACTAGTCATATGTGTTCGAGAATCAGAACCATTCTTTAAAACTTGACCACAACTTGCACAAATTTCTAAACCTTTAATTTTATTACCACTTTCTTTTTTGTGAACTTTAAATAGTTCTTGTTGCTTTTCAATATCTGGCAAGAGAACTAAAAGCTCTGAAAATACATTTTCAAAAGCATTGAGACCCATAACTTCGCGACAATGCGTATAATAATCTTGAGCATTACATGTTCCTTGTCGAAATAGTCCACTTATATATCGAAATTCGTCAATTTGATCATCATGTTGCATTAGGATTTCATTAACTTTGGCTACAAGACTTTTATTCCGTTTTTGAAATTCTGGAGGAGGTACGTAATTATATGCACTATTGTGCTTACTATTATCTGGCAAAATAGAATAACTTTCTCCAGAACTGTTTGTAAAAGTCAATCCATTACTATTATGTAATTTATCCATGCTGTTATATTTTATACAAAAACCAGGAGGTGGAGGAGTTGTTGTTCCAAATCCTGGTGGTGGATTTGTGAAACCTGGTGGTTTAGAACTGCTGCTACTTAAAGCTGGAAATTCTTCTAAATGACGGACATTTCTATTGCTAGAATTTAAGCTATCTATTTTTAATTCAGTGCGCTTTCTCTGTACTCCGTTTGAAGTATTATTATCGATATTTGTATTTACAACTGTTTCATTATCTATATTTTTATGTTTTTTCTTTTCTTTTTTATTAATTTGTTCCATTTCTTTTGAAGATTGAACATTTATATTTTTTGATATATTTTCACTGTTACTAATATTATTCGTATTTCGTGTAGATTGCGAACTTGACTGTACAGTATCCGTTCTATTCATACTAGATAAATTTCTAGGTGTTTCACATTCTTTTTTTACTACAACAGAACTTATATTTGTTTTTGAACTATTACCATCATTTCCATTAGCAGTATTGTTATTATAATTTTGTTTAACTTTTTTCTTTTTCGTTTTTCCTTTTGTTAAATCAGTAGTTGTTTTTATATTATTACTGTTAGAATTCTGTGGTTGACCCCAAGAAGGAACTACTGTAATTGTTGATTGTTTCTTTGATTTAGATGACTTTGATAATGTAGGAAAATCTTCCCCAGATTGAATAGGTGGTGGAGAAGGATTTAATGGTGGTGAAACTACTTTTTTAGGTATCGATGTAGATGCTGATTTAGAACAAGTCCATTGTAATACCTCTTTCCAATGAGTTGAATTTGTATTATTACTAGTTGATGGTTCTGCAGAACCTAATGCAGGAAATGATTCCATTGATAGCTGAGCAGGACGAATTCTTATATTAGGACCTGAAACTTTTGTAGTAACTGTTCCATTTGGTTCATGATTAACTTGAATAGATACATTAGAAGTTGTACTCTTTTGAGGTTGTGTATTTGATCCTGTTGCATTACTGCTGGATACACTAAAATTAACAGTTTTAGAAATACTTGTACTTCCTGCTTCCGGTCCTAATGCGGGGAAATTTTCGTCTGTAACAGCAAGAGGCTGAGGTCTTATAGTACTACGGATTGTTACATTACCTCTACCTTTACTTTGATTTAAAGTAGGTACAATAGGTGCGGTGTTACCCAATGTTGGAAATTCTTCTGTACTTTGCACATCCACAGATCGACGTTTTATAAAAGTAGGTTCGTTGTTTGGTATAAATACATTTGAAGTATTTGGCGAAGTTGGTTGATAATCCCTGAGACTATAATCTCTTGAATTCCTAGAAGTCGATGGACCTAACATTCCTCTTCTGTTCATTCGATTTTCACCACGTGGAGCTAGTGTAAATTCTAGTTCTAATGTTCTTGCTTGCTTTGCAGCAGCTTTGCTCAATTGTTTACTATGAACACTTGCTTTATGTGCTTTAAGATCTATATCAGTTCTAAAGACACTTGTAAATTTTTCCTCAACACACATTCCTTCTTCACACAAGAAATGTTCTTGTCTGAAATGATCTCTCAAATAATCATAAGAACTATAATATTGATGTAAACCATCTGCATCACAAAAATGACAATATAAGTGATCTCTCCTCAAATGACGAAATAATTCATCATTATCCATATAGCGTTGATCACAAAATTCACATAATGGATGTCCTTTATGACTTTTGTCATCAACATCTCCTTTTCTTCGGTGTTGTGCAAGATCAGATCTTGTATAGCAACGTCTTTCATGAGAAAATATCTATTATAAAAAAAAATAAACAAGTTAATTTTTCATTATAAATTATTGAAAATTAACAATAAATTATTCAATTAATCTTAATATATTTTAAAATAGATTTAAAATTAAATAATATTAATATTTATTACCTTTAAATTTTCCACACAAAGATCACAATAATGTAACTCATGTTGATGTCTCATATGATCTTTTAAACTATTAAAATTATTAAATACAAGTTTCTCTTTGCAAATATAGCAAACATTAGCCAATAAATCATAAAATTTATTTTGAATATCTGATGTATCGAAATAGATATTATATCGTGTATCTATTAAGCTACCTTTATGTAATTGGCGAAAAGGTTTTATCTCCTTTGTAAATACAACTTTTGGCAAATCTTGACGACAAATAGGACATTCATTTTGACAACAAAGCACCCTCATTCGAGTACTGCATTCATAACATACAGGATGTTCACACATTCCAATGCTATAAATGTCAACATTTTTGTAACATACAACACAGGTGTTATTATTCATATTTTCATTACTACCAGACATTTTTTTAATGAAATATCCTTCAGAAATATCTATTACATATACTGTTTATAGAATATAATAAATTCTTATTTTGTTATTTTTGTATAATTTTTACTGAATTTTTTACTTCAATAAAATAAATTATATTATCTTCACTATTGTCTTGCACACATCTGCAATACAATTGATATTTTAATTTCGATATATTTATTTTCTATAAATATAAGCCTAACCCTTAAAATCAAACATTATTAATTTGAAAACTTCCATTAATTATTAAAAAACCATACTATACTTAAATTGATAAATACAATAAGAATATATTAAAATCTAAAGTTAATATGTTTTGTATATCTAACAACTAGTAGAACAAAGAGACATATATGTTCAGATGCTACAAACACTAGATTCGCAATAGAACAAATATTTTGTGAAAAAGTAACTGTTTATTTTTTGTACTAACGATATGCAATTATTTTCTAATAAATTATTAAATATTTTATATATATATATATATACAAAGATTAGATGGAAAAAAGAAACAATACCGTCTGAAAATTGTCCCAATAAGCAGATGGTAAAATCTTACAATATGTCCCTGAAAGAAAAAGGTTATCACGATTTATACTAGACTATGGTATGTATGTTGTTGGTTGGTTTGATGAATTCAATTTGATGAGCAAGCAGTTCCGGTTTCTTCTGTTTCAGTCATTACTATAAGTCAAAAAGTAACTAGAAAAAAACTAAATTAAAAGAAAACTAAATTAGTGACTTAAATCTAGTGTTATTTAAAATTAAATGTAATTTAAACAAATAGAATAAATTCCTTTAATTTGTATTTTTTTTTATATAAATTTTTTACGTTTATATTTATTTTTATATTATATAAATAAAAAATCAAGAATATAATTTCTTGAGATATATTTTTTTAAAAAAATTTTGTAAAATTAAAAATTACAATTTTGTATCATTTTTATGTAATTTTATACATGAATGAATAACATTTTTTAAGATTTAAATCTAAATTAAATTACTTACTCATATTTTAATATAATAATCTTATTATATAAATAAAATAGTGAATTTTTATTTTTTGAACAAAATTTTTTTTTTTACAAATATAAATCTTTACAAAAAAATTTACAAATAATAAAAATTATTTTGTATAATGTTTAATCAAAATTGTAATATATATTTATTTCTTTAATTTCTCTATTTCTAAATCATATTATATAAAGTAATTATAAACTTGTTAAAAAAATAATTTTAGTTATTGTTTAATATTAAACATTTTAGACTTAAAATTATGTACATTGCAAAAAGTATGTATAATCATAATTATGTATATATATAATTATAATTTCTTTTACAAATATTAATTATGTATGTTATCATAAATTATACTACATGCAAAAGAATTGTTAGTTAAAAATAAAATAATAACACAGAATGAAATGTACAGAAGAGACTAATATTTTTTAATTGATTTTCGTATAAGTGCTAATCTTTGTTTATGTGCTTCAGTAACTGTTGCACGTTTATATGGACGTACTTCATCTGTACCAAAACCAGGAATCCACATATTCCAATTTCTTTCTAAAAATTGGATAATAAATTATATATATTTAATTATGTTGTATTGAATAGTTATTTATTTGATTTTTTTTCATAACTTACCTAAATGTAATTGTACATCTTTTACTTCTACAGTATTTGCATGACGATGTTTGGCTAACAAACATGCTGCATTGACAGTTGTTTCTACAAAATCATCTGCCAATTGTAATAACATTTCTTCTACTTCTTCATCTAATTGTTCAGTAGGATCTACTTCTTTCACAAGATCTTGTAATCTTGTTTTAGTCAAAAACTAGAATTTATATAATATAAAAATATATATATATATAAAACATACAGAAACATATTCAATAAAATTTATTTTTTTTACAATAGACATACTTGTGGGAAATCATTGAAGGAACTTTGTTGTTGTTGAGGTTGTTGTTGAGTAGATGGTTGCTGTACTACTTGCTGCTTTGGAGGTTGTGATACAAATTGTGTCTGTTGAGATTGTGTTTGAGACTGTTGTGATGTCATTGCGACATCTTGACTTAAGACATTTATTGTAGTCATGATTTAAGACATTTATTGTGATTTAAAAATCTAAATTAAATAAAAATAGAATATAATATAAAAAATTAATACAAAGAATACAAAATCTATATATATATATATATATAAGTTACATATAAAACATATTTTATTTCAATTATAAATAGCGTTAAATGAAAGCTATTTAAATTAAATACCTAAAATTAGTTGACACTTGGCGATAAGCGTCACGATACTGTGAGCAAAAGAGAAATTATACTGTGGCCCAATTTTTCTCTTAAGACAAGTTTGCGAATATAAAAGAACAAGTAAATCGTTTCGTAGAATCTTTTCGCACGATTCGTCTTGCGAAATCTCTGCGTTTTTATTTTCAAGCTTTTACACGTTAATCACATAGTCATAACTTAGTTTGATTAAAAATATTTGAGTTAGTTAAAATTTAATCTTTTATAGATATAATTGTTTTATAGATATATTTCCCATTCTTCTAATGCTATTTTATATTTTTATTATTTTTTAAATATATACATATATATAAATTCAGTTATTTTAGATTAATTACTTACTTCTTATTAACATCATTGACAAAATAAATTTTAGGAATCTTGTCCATAGACAAGATACAGAATAGATTTACCGTCTTATAATAATATTTTATGACTATAGACTAAATATATTAAATATATATGACCATAGACTAAATATAAAAGAGATATTATCCAATTTTTATATCACATAAGGATACATGAAGTCATTATCCTAGAAATGCATTATATAATCAAAAATAATATTTACATTTTTTTATTTTAAGGCAAGCTAAGATAAAAATATTTAATTGATACTTTAATTATACTTTAATTATAGTACTTATGCGCCAAAAACTGCAAAATATAGACAAAAAAAATGAAAAACAGGATAAGAACAAAAATAGAATAAAAATTAACGAATTAGTACCATTTATATATAGCACAATAAATGAAAAAAATAAACAAAAGAATATTAAAAGAATAGAATAGGAATTGACAGTTACTATTTTTTAAATGCATGAGACATCTCATCAAAAATTAATTATTAACATTATCTATATATAAAAAGCTTTCGAGATTGTTTAAGAGATGGAGCTACAAGTTAAAGTCTACTAACAAATTCATTTTATTATCGGTAAAAATGTACGACAAGTTTGAGTACTTTTCAAAGAGATGGCGTTAAATACTAAAAAAAAAAAAAAAATTACGTCATAAAATTGGAAAGAATTGCAAAAATT